GTATGAGAAACTCTTGGCAAAAAAACAGACTATTCACCAAAAATTATTTATATCAACGAATTGACTATTTTGATACACAATCCCCGATATAAAGTATGTCAAAAAATCAGGGCCCTATGTTTTAATAAAATCATTCATATAAACGTCGTACTTTAAAGTGTTTTAAGAGATAAAACAAGCGTATATTTTAAACATATAATTAGGTTCATTTTAAACAATGTTGTCTATATATTACAAAAAGATTAAATTTAGCAAAATTTTAGTCAAAAAAATCCGGAAACTCATAATCGATATTTATTATGCCATCTACGGAGCGTTACGACAGCCAAACTCGTTTTTCATAGTCATAAAAAGTTTTGCGCAATAGGTTTTGAATTTTGTTCCAAATTTCTCTAAATTTTTTATTTTTGAAATTCTCATTTTTATAATTAAGATTATATAATCTTTTTTCATATAAGCTCATAAATGAAGAGTCGGATTTGGAAGAAGAGACAGCAGTGGTTAAAGAGGTAGAAGAAAACATAAAAAAATGGTCAAAATATTTTAACCCAGAATTTTATTAAATAAAAATTTTCATATAAGCCAATTATGTTCTATCAAGTTAAAATCCATTGATTGCGATGACTAAGAAAATTATTAAGTTTCTTTTCATGCGAAATATTATATAGTAACCTCTATGTATGCTTATGATCATTACTTTGTCAAAAAAAATATTCTCATCCAAACCCGATTTCTTGCAGATGATTCTAAATTTTGGGCAATAATACTAAATTATTAAAATATTTCTTGACGAATATATATAAATTTCAAATTTTTAATTATTGATATGCCATACATTTCAAAACCATAATATTTCCTCAATTATCTTAGCTGTTGGTCATATGTTTAGAATAAAGGCGTTTCCCTTGCTCCATCCATACATAACCTACCATTCAAGATTAACAAGTGATTGAATTTATCACTAAATATTGTCGTTTTCAATCATAATCTGAAATCGATAAAAATGATTTTGAAATTTTAAATCTAGCAGCCATAAATTTTAGACACAAAGATTTTTGGGCAGTAAACAGGTATAGACACCAAGTTTACCCATGTCCTTCCAAGATCTGGGTAGAGCCGCTAATTGCAAAACACATCTAATTTTTTATGGTCTATGCTGGAAATTATGAGATTTTTTTTCGTAAATCCGAAATTATATTAGTCCTCGCGATATCACAAAAGAAAGGCGTCGAGATCTATGTCTACGATTTTTATCTTTTATTTCTATTCTTATACGGCATTATTGACTATAGACCTAGCCATTTGAAGCAATCCAAAAAATTTTATCGTTGAATAACCCTTTATTCTAACTCTACTATAGCATCTTTGTTTCTGACCAATCAAATATAGCTTATTAAAAGGTGATTAATAACTTGAAAATTCAATTATCAGATTTTTGAAACAAAATATTTATAATTTTTCGGTATCGGATTTTTTTTTGACATTTTCAAAAGATATATCTGCAAATGTATAAATAGAGATTATAAACGCAATATATAAAGAATACCATTCCTATACAGTATTATAACTTCGTATTTACTACAAAAGTATGTAAAATGCTTATTAAAAATATATAGAAATTTAGAATTTTTTGAGTGCTCGGATTTTTTTGCATACTGTACCTAAAACAATTATAGTTGTTAATGCTTTTTTTTCTGTATTAGATCAGCTTTAGTAATTATTTCCTGACATAAATTATAGCTTTGAAACATTGTATTATCTAATTTTCCATGTCAGAATATATCTCGCAGTTTATATGCTTATTATATTTGTCATCTTAATGTATAAATTGACTTAAAATAATTTTATTATTATTTCCTGTTTCATTTGATGAAATTTAAAGAGTAAGTGCTGCTGCAAAATATATACCATATAATTTACAGAAGTAAAACGAAACTACAGCAATTATTATACAGAAACATGCCTTATTTCTCAAATCGTATTAAAATTTTTTGCTGCATCATTTTATAAATTATACAATACATTTTAGAGATTCAAATATATAATTATAGTATTCAGAATTTGTAGATATTAATTTCAATGTTTTAAAAGTAGAATAAAATTATTTCCAAAAATAAATATACGATCTCTTTTATATATTCAATAAGATTGAATAACACTTCGTTTTATCTGATAATTTTTTTATCCTAGCTGATTTTTACCTCTTACCATTCTATAATTAATAAATAAATATATTTAAAATTCTTGGAACTGAATTTCTATATATTGAAAATTTCACATTTAGAAACAGCCTTACAATATCCTGGAATTGATATAATTTTCAATTTATATGTTTTTTGTAAGAATAAATTCAAATATTTCGCAAATGCGTATTTATAATTAGACTCGGGTTACTTATAAAAAAACAATCGAAATAAAAAATTCTTCAATGTGAAAATTTACTTTGTGAAAAAAAGTTGGTTTTTACGAAACAAAAGTTTATTTGCTACGAATTCCGAATTCAAGTAAAAAAAACCAAATCAAAAACATCTAATAAATCTATACATTTTTAGTTATAAAAATATTTTCAGACCCAAAAATTTGAGAATTTTTTATATTCAATATATTATTTTTATACGACAAGGTGTTTATTTTATCATTTTTACACGCAAAAATGTACTTTTTAGCCATTGTATTATTTAAAAATAAACATCTTATTTTTATTACCAGAGAACACAAATAAACTTTGAGATTTAGCATCTATCTCAATTAGTATCTAAGCGATCACTGTTAGTGTATTCTTTACCCGACGAACATTTTGAAGAAACCTGTCATTAGAAATTTGTAAATTTCTGCTTCTCGCCTATTTTATTTACAGTCTACAACTATTATCAATATTTGGAAAATTTTGAATTTTATTTCTTCGCTTACTCATTTTTTTAACTAAAAAGATATGATATTATTTGTGTTCATTAAAATCCGCCTAGATTGTGCGAGACGAACATCTTTATCATGGGTTTTTCTGATTACTACACTGCTCCATGATTACTGACCAAGAGACAATTAAAAGTTAGAATTTTTTATCTCGTGTCTTTTGATAATCTGATTTCAGATGTCTTAATACATTTTTCTTGATATGAACTGAAGAATAAAAATTCTTAGAATTTTGTAAGAATATGCCTTTTTCTAGATTAATTAGATACAAATTTATTTCGTTATATCGTTGACAGACTGTGTCAATTTAGCAATTATATTTTGTTTTTGGTTTAATCGATTTACAAGAAATATAAATTATATATTTACCTGCCATATTATTCGTAATTTCTTTTTTAATCAAATACTTTTGACTATTTTATTAACTTCTTTTATATTGACGCGAATTTTCAATTTTCGTTAAGATTTTTATAAGTTGTAGTATCATCCAAAATTAAACCATTATATTTGGCATCTTTTTTATGTTTCCTCATATTCTTTTGTAATACAGATATAGTTAACATGAGTTTTAGTACATTCCTTAGATTGTTCCATAATATACAGTGATATATTTTTTCGAAAAAAATGGTAGTTCTCTTGTGTATCTCCGTTTCAAAAACGAAAAAAAAAGATTTAGACTGCCTTTTTAAGTATATATGAATATATATCTGCATCTAAATCTTACGTTAAAAAAAAATTTAACATCAAATTTGTGTTTATTTGCGAATGGTTTCAACACAACCTATCTCTCTCTAAATTTCTACACTATATTCATAAATGAAGTTTAAATTACCGAAAAATCAATCCAAATCCTTCAAATCCTTGAATTAAACAATATAATACAAATATTTGAATACTGTTCCTATAACCGGAAAGTATTTTTTCATTTTTTTTTCCAATCTATTTTGCGGTTCTAAATCTACGTTTCACTACTTTTACAGCAATTTTAATCTACAATTTCTTTATTAAAATGTTTCTCCACAGTTGAGAAGTTGAATTAACATTTTTTGAAAATAGCAAAGGTGGTCCGAACTCTTGTTTAATTAGCAGGTCTGCTTCTATATGCACCAATAATAACTGTGAGTAACACAACCTTTAACCGAATTATCGAGTTTAAATAACTTAGCCACTTCATACTGTTATACAGATATAATTTATTTAATAAAAAATTCAGAAAAATCTTTCATGAGAAAGTTTTATTTCCCTTCTCGTTCGCCTTTAAAAGACCAATTTTTTTAGCCTATACTTCTCGCATTATATACACCCTTCGAAGTATTTTTTATTTTATTTTTTGATATTAAATTTGATAATTATGATAGTTCGGATTCCTCAGCATTGGTCTCTAGTCTTCTCTCTATGTTTAGCTCAGAGTCACCCTTTAATAAAAATAAGTTTATTTATAATTATTCTTAATCTAAATTACTGTTTTCTAGATCAAATTTAATTATCATTTTATTGACAATTTAAGTTGTAATATCTTAAGTCTACCATATAACCTAACACAATACAGACTTCTTCTCAATTATATTCGAAATAAATACACACGTATTACGGCTCTAGAAAATCAGAAAAAACATAATTTCAGCTAAAATAAATACCAAATAAAGGTAAGAAGATATAATATTTAATATTAAAAAAATATAATTTTATTCGCTACTGTCATTATTTTTGAGAGAATCAAGGTCCATATCACCACTTTTGACTTTATCAAACGTATCATCAATAATCTTCTGATCAATTCCAAGTTTAGAAAGTGCTTGTCGAAGACGCTCCAAATCAATTATAGGTTTCAAATCTCCAAAAACTATAAACGTATCAGTGTCCGGAACAGAATATATTTTTGGAGATTTTATTGAAAATTTAGTTTCATTTTGATCCAAAAAGAATTTTTCTGTGTTTTTTGCTTCTTCTAATACTAATTTAGATTGAAGAAGTGTATAAATTTGTTTTTCTTTGGTGGTGAATTCTCTTGACATCTAGGGTTGAATTAAACAGGTATATATATGTATTTATTATGAATTAATAATGTAAAAAATTAAACGTAATAAGGGAGGATGGTCTAGTGGTATGACGTCTGCTTTGCATGCAGAAGGTCCGGGGTTCAATTCCCCGTCTTTCCATTTTACATTTTTTCTTCTTTTATAGATTTTTTTTAAGATCGATTTCAAATGTGTATAATTTAAACACTCATCATTATAATCCAATTCTTTTCTACAATCTTTTTTAAATAAATAGATAATTTGAGGTAATAATTTGCATTTTACCAAGGCTACCTACTAAATTAAAGTAAGAAATTCTATAATTCCGGTATTTGATCAATTAAACTATGCTGAGCAGTAATTCCACATATATTCTTTTATTTTGAACAAGAATCCAACCACATCATATCAATTTTAATCATTTTAATAATTATATTACTAGTATGAAATTTAATAAAACTTTCAAATTTATTTACAGAACCAAAAAAACGGGTTTTTTTCGATTTACTAATTGGAAAATATATTTTATATCATTTTGTCAAACACAATGAATGTGGAGATACTTATTCTTACAATATAAATAGCTAATTTTAAAATTTGTTAGTTTCTAGAATAGAATGAATCAATTCTAACTTTAATGACTATTTTTATAATTTATAATGTATTATTTTAAAAATCTAAGCTATCAATAATTTAGAGATTAGAAATATCAATGATTTTAGGTTTTTATAGCGGAAGAAAACAGCCTCTATTAGTGAAGTACTTTCTTTAAAGGTAACTTATGAGCTTTTAGAACCCAGAAATTTTGTTACATATACTTAAACGAATTACTATTTTCCTATAAATCTTAATTCGTAGCCATAAAAATATAAAATGTAAAGTATTTTTAGCTTATATCATCTGCCTCTGGAGCTATATATTGCAGTACGAACAACAATTAACCGATTTTCAAACTTTTAAAATACATATGTTGATTTGATTTGTACAAATATCTTTTAGATGAGACTCATGGATTTTGGCTTATATTAAGTGATACTACCTCAGATATTGGTAGAAATTATTGAAGCAGTGAAAAAACAAAAAAATAGACAATTGATTGTTCTTGGTAAATATATTCCAATACTTCTTATTTAAAAAGAAGATTACCATAAATATATTTCAATCAATTTTAATTAAAGATAATCTCTTAATCACTCTGTAACCTATATAAGGGAATAAGAAATGGCTTTTTTACATGAGTCGTTAAAATATTACACGAAAAGACAAATAGTAATTACGAAATTGGAATATTTGTTTTATTAGTTTCAAATACATCTATTTAAGAAGAAATATTTGTAACGAATAGATTTTTCTTAATTATTTTAAGAATGATTTTTTAATCTCAATTACTATATCAGTTTCATAATTAAATTTAAGTTGGTAAATAAATTTGTCTAAAAATAACAATCACACAACAAACTAAATATGAAAAGCGGCATGTATTTGTAAAAAATAAAATAATTAAAATATTACACATAATAAGAAATATTTTGACTTTTTGGTGATTTCTAAGTCTCTTTTATATGTTATTTAGTGTATTTTATACTTATATTTAAGATATATTGGCTAAAAAATGCTTTCACATAAATGTATTTAAATTTGGTAGATTTTGGTTTTTACATTGTGAATCATCGCTTGGTGAATTGACGAAATTATTTTTTAGTCTTTTAGCTAATTAAAGAGTGTTGTATGTACTGCTTCCAAAAACTATCGTATTACCGACCGAGACTTCTCGCTTAATGACTGTATTTGCTTGAAAACTAGAGTACTGATACATCAAAGTCGAAGTTTTTTAGAAGAGAGATTTTATGTGTATTTTCTATTCATCAAGAAATCCTTTTTATTTTAGTAGGAATAATCATGTCTTTGTGATATTATTTTGCGTATTTTTGTTTATTAAAAATATGGTAATATTTTGTTCGTTCTAACTGTTTTTTTTTTTGAATTGTAGGAAGTATGTTTGCCACTAAAAAATTTATATTTGTATTTTTAACAAATTCTTTAGGATTTGTAGCGTGTGTTTCTTTTGTTCGATATTTCTGTTTCATTGTACAGCTGTTTCCGTAAAAAGCACTATTTGCCGATTTATATCAAAAGTCATTTTTGTTGTAGATCTATCTATAAGGGAGCAAATAATAACAATCATAACTTTTGATATAAATCTAATGGATTGTCTGCTTAATAGAATAAACTTTTCCAAAAACTATATTATATGATTCATGGAATTTTCGTAAATAAAACCAATTTCATTAATGTGATAATAAATCACTCTGTTCATGAGATAACAATACCTTTCTAATCTTCAAGCAAAATAATCTTTGATTTTTCCTTTTTTTGTGTATGAAATGATCGATGGGGCCTAAAACTCGTTTAGTAGACTTTCATTTTTTAAAGTTGGATTAATGTAGTTTTTAGGACTTTAATGATGTGAGATTGAATCATGATATTTCTTATGGTATAATAAATGTCTTAAATCCGTTTAAACACATGGAAATCTTAAATTTACATTCTGGAATTGATATTTCAAATAATAATTATCACTAAATCCCTATCTTGACAATGAAATAAAAATTAACATTTAGGAATCCTCTTCATGATTTTTCTGGTATACTAAAATGTTTATAAGGCAAATTAACTGCCTTTTTTTGCCACTTTTCATTTTTCTTCTAATGCATCAAAATCACAAGAATCGCAAATTGATTTTTGTTTAGAAAACCATCTTATCTCGATCTTAAATTTACAATAGGTTTATTTTCGATCGAAATATAGCAAATAAAATCGATCGGAGGTTTATCTAAGAGAGCATTTGTGATTCACTATGCAATTCAATTTAAAAAATGGTGGATGAATCAAACCAAATTAAAGTGTCCATCGCTATTTTTTTTAAATGTATGATTTTGATCCGAACATTGCATTATGACTTAAGCTCCAATTTTTTCGCATACAATTTCAGTTTTAAATTTCATTTCCCGTTACCATTTGGCGTGGATAGTAATTAATATTTTTATACGGAGATTGTTTAAATATTTTGGAAATATTGGTGCAGAAATTAGTAAAACAATTTTAAAAATTTGTTTTGAATTCACACAAAGACCAATTAGAATATGGCAAATAATATAAAAAAATTGAATTCAAAATTCAAACGAAAGTATGTTATATCGATCTAAAAAAAACTGGTCTTTCTTCGGATCGTTCAAGAATAAAATATCTTGTGCGCGGATTTAAACTATATTATTATAGTTTTATTGAAATAAACTTGTTGTACAATTTTCGATTTAGTTTCTAGGGATAAAATGCTCGAAAATGAATTTGCCATATTTTTTTTAATAATATCTCAAAATAATCTAATAATTTTGTCTTTTTAGTATCAGTAAAAATGTTTTAATCCTAAAGACTGTGTTTGACTTAGCCATGATTATAAATTACAAGAACTTAGATAAGTTTATTTTGCAATTAAATGTTACACATACTACTGGTAAATATATTTCTAAATACCAATATTTATGTGAAATTTCTTCCAAAATATTAAAGAATTGTATAAAATTATAAATAAATGATCAGCTATAAAATACAATACTTATACCTAAGAAAAACCTAGATTAAATGAATTAATCATGTGCAAAGAAATATTTTAACATTTTTAGGTAAAAACAATGCAGTATTTTCTCAAATATAGTAGCAGAATCAAATTTTTAATTTTAAAATAAATTTTCTGACATTAAAATATGTAAGATTTGGGTTTTTTATACGTAATTAGTGCATTTATCGAATATACCTCATGCTTTTAGTTACGTTGTCATGTTGTTCGAAGATGTCATGGAAAGTATATAATATTGATCTGTTCCAATATAGAACTTTCAACCTTGATTAGAAGAATAGAATATGTCTAAACAATTTCAAACTTGAGTCATCGGGCTCGGATTGAAATTTTAACTAATTTTAATTAAAACCAAAGTTTTTAATACTTAATCAAGAAAATTGACAATATTTTTTTTTGCACTTAGTTTTCTACAAAAAAACGTTTTTTAAGAATATAAATTATAAAATAAAAAGCTGCTATATTACGTTATAGATGTAACATATGATCTACTATTAAAAATTTTCTATTTTTCAAGTCACAAAGAAAAACATAGAATCATTAAAGAATTTAGTATGCTTTAAAAAGATTAAAATGCAAAATCGTAACTTTATTAAAATCTCACCAGAAAACACGTAAAGAAATATCTTAAAAGAATAGAATATGCCGCTAAAAATATACCCTGTGTCACAAGTGCAGATATATTTAACAGGAAATTGGTTCTTTGCGGATCATCAGAACCCAAAATCATATCTCTGTAATTGAGACATAAAGCATATTCAGATAAAATCCAAAATGCCAAAAAGAATATCCAAGACAAAACTCTATGTATAGATTGTAGAATACAAAACACAGGTAGATATGAAATAGAATACATGCATATATATACATGCATAGAGAAAGTATAGCTATCTCTTTTGTCAAAACACGCTTTATAAAAATATCCAGCTCCATACGAATAAATCAAAATACATCCAAAAGAAACCGGATAGAATACAAAATTAAAGTCTGTTTTGCTTTTTAAAAGGCTAACTACTAGTCCAATAATAGAAACCAAGGTTGTCTGCAGCAATGAATATATAATCGTTACTGCTATTCTTGGTCTATAATTTGAAAAATCAATTTTGTTTAACTTTAGTGAACTTTTTAAAACAGAAAATTCCTCATTAAATATCTTCATAAAACCGTTACGACTGTTTGTAAAGTATCGTATTGCCCGTGCTTTACCTGCTACTACCATTTAGGGGGTATTCGTTATTTAAAAAGAATGTTTTTTTCCAAAAATAAAATTTAATTGGTTTTTTATCTTTACGGAGATAAAAAAGCAAAAAGGAGATTTTTTCCCGTTTTTTTTTATCTTCCTCCTTTTTATATAAAATAACGAAATTACTATTTTTAGTAAAACTTATATTATTTTAATTATATTTTGTTAATATTTAAGACTAAAGCTATTAAATCACATCCTCTTTGGATATGTAGCTATAAATGTAAAAATCTTTTATTTTCAACAATTCTAGTAATAAAA